GTGTCAGTGGGGGGGGGCGGGCCTTGTTGAGGTGGCGAGAGGTTTTGGTCCTGATGGAGAGAGGTTCTGGTCCTGATGGAGAGAGGTTCTGGTCCTGATGGAGAGAGGTTTTGGTCCTGATGGAGCGCAGCCTCCTGCCAGAGGGGAGGGGGGTGAACAGTTTGTGTCCAGAGTGGGAGGGGTCGGCCACTAACTTCCCGCCTCAGGGTTCTGGACACATTGAACATGAGCTCTTTTATTAAATAAACTAAACGCTTTCATTTTAAGTTGTGAGTTTAGTGTTTTTGACCCTAAGAAACACTGATGCCTTAATCAATAACAATAATCCACAGCTCCTCTCTCTGCTCCAGAGGATTTAAAAAAGATATCAGCAGTAAACCTAGGGGAAATACACACATTCAATATTATGTTAGACACAAGTTAGTTATTACTCACATATCAAAGTATTTTCATCTGCAAGATGGAAGAATAGCTGGGTGCTGCCTGGAGAGACTGATGAGAGGAGTCACCGGCTGGCTTCAGCAGCTTTCCACACAAAGCCATCACATCTTCTCTTCCATAGTCTTCACTGTCCACTGGTGCTCTGTCAAAAGAGTGAACATCCCAGCTGTCATGGTAACCCTTTGTTACACAACATACAACCAACATGCGTCAAAAGTGACCCGAATTAGTTTAAATTGTAAATATCTTTGCAATAAATTACTTCCAGGATTCCAGGTATTCCTCAATTAACCTGTTTTTGATCAACACCAATTCTAATTTGTATTTGTATCACTACACTTCTAAGGCACAACATGGGTCAAATTACCCATATTCTTTTCCTATGTTATTCATGGCTTTGCTAACAATTCTGCCCTAATGCTGAGACAACTGATCAGAGAGCAGCAGGAACAGATGAGAGCATTGTTTGTTTGACAATACAAGCTTTAAGATTTATGATCAATTCCATCCTGTTACTATAGTTGTCATGCTGTTTATTGTATTCAAGGAGATTTTAAGGGCCTACTTTCCAAGGTTTCCATATTAAAGGAGACCTCTTTATGCAGGCATGACAAGGTTGTTGATGTGATGTTGTATAAAAAAGGAATGCTGCATCTGTTAACTTAGCTTATTTAATGATGCATGAGTATGCTACTGTCTGACATGCAAGTTTAAATTCAAAGCATAATAACTTTGACAATCTTTGCTCATTGAAGTGTCAGTCAAGATGTCATAGAGGTGCTAGAAGTATGCTGTAATTCAGATTGTCCCCTGAAGCATGATTTCAGCTAGTAAACATAACACTTACAGTTTATTTTTAGTAATCAATGTGATACAGGGTGATCGGGGCTATCGGCCTGCTAATGCAACACTTGAATTCATTATAATGCCTCTAGCACGCAAGCAGTTCACACTTTACCCGAATCTCTTGAAATATCTTAACATCTACAAGATAGATTCGCAGAAAAAACATCATACACAGATTCATGGTCCGCAGACAATCGATACCAATTCATATCTAATCCTTTGTGGTTTCCCATGATATCGTCAGGTGAAAAATGTCCTACAAAATACCTACACAACTACATTCCTATCAGCCCCAGCTTTACTTTGTGTTAAGTTCTAATCAAAACTTGATCTAAACTAATAAACCTTGTGAATCAAACTCAAATAATATCTAAACCTTTAGCCTGCTAAACATTAGCATGTTAGCATTTTCATTGTATGTTAGCGAAGCACTGAAATCCTCACATGCTAGCTTGGATGTTTTTTTTCTTTTGGGTTCCCCAGAGCTTGCCTGCTGTTTGTACCACGCCAAAAGTATTCAAACCCCTGAATTAGGAGGACACATGTGACTATTTGTTCCCCCAAGAGGAGATTGTTAAACCTAAGAAAACATTTGATGTGCCCGCCTTGCAATTAAAACCATGTGTGCATGCAAGTGTGGGCAGGTGGCTTTGCATTTGATGGGAGGAAGTGTACTTGAGCAAGAAGGGCAATTCAGCTTGACAATTAAAGCATCCATTGTCTAATTTGGATCACCCCTGGTGAGGTAAATAGGGAGGCTAAAGATAACAACACCAAGGGCTTATTACCGTCACTTCAAACATTTCAAGGGAGGTAGCCTTTCCAAGCCTAGAATTCTCCTGTCTTGTTGAAACTAAAGACACATGCAGGGACACACACGCACGCTGACCTGAACATTGACCCCCAACATCCACACACATGGACAGACAAACATGCACGCGCACTCTGGAGTAGCCTGATAAGCTTCGCGTCTCACCAATTGGCCCCTGCAAATGTCAAACTGAAGCCCTCTTAGTTTACTGATAGGGTAGGTGGGAGTGGATTAATCTAAATTTCCTTCAGTTTCGTGTGCATACGCTGGAGATTAACACAATTAAAACAAGTCTGCAGTAGACACATCTTTCAAATCCTTCTTATAAATGATGAAAAGAGGTACAGTGGAAAATCCTTAAATATCTCTACTGACGAGTCCAAGAGACAAAGCAACAAAAAGCAGCTTACAGCAGAGGAATAGTTATCTTCCTACCCTGGATCTGAATAAAGTCAGGGAGGACAGGAGATGAGATGTGAGTGAAAGGTTGAAGCGTCAATTACAGTCCAGATGCTGTTTCATCACATATTAAAACACCAGCCACAGAGTGTCCTGCTGGGTAGGTTGTTCAGCTAAAGTCACCATCAAAACGCCCAAAGAGGGGTTTGCATTGCTTACACCAGCACAATAGCTCGAGAAGGGATCACCCAGTTTTGCAGGATGAGGCAAAGACGGTGCCTGCCAAGAGAATGTCTCTACGCTTTGTGCAGAGGCTTCCACAGAGGGTTTGAGGCTTACCCGTGTTTGCTGTGTGACCTTAATAAATGGCTAAAAAAGGACGGGTGGTGGCTAAATAAAGGGTTAAATGTAACTATGCAATATGATGCAATAATATAGGTATTGTTGCCAACATTATGGCACTACTAAAATCCTTTTATATTTTGCTGAAAAAATAAATTAATACATTCTGGAGCATTTTCATTTGACTCTCTTCGCTTATTTTAAAATGATAAATACTGTTGAACTCTTTCTTGAGATTGTTTTTGGTGCATTTGTGTTCCTCCCCAGGGGCTTTAGGAGAAGTACAGATGTTGCAGACTCTCAGGCAGTGTTCAGTTCCAGTGGTTTCAGCAGTGAAAGCTGTTTCTCGCAGACCGGGGGCGTTCGTCTTTGACATTGTGACATGAAGTCTCTAATTTGAAGATGTGCTCATACACCCTGCAAGCAGAAAGCAGCCTGTGCTACTGCTCAGCTGCCTCTGGCTCGGGTGACCTCTGCTCAGGCACGGACCCTCAGTCTTAATTGTGTCTGGAGGAATTCTGCTGTCTTAAGACAAGCTCAAGTTTAGACTGGAGGGCTTTGTGGCTTTCACTTCATTGAGCAGTTAAACACACACAAGATGCTCCAGCACTGTATATTGTGGCAATGTAGTCTTAACAAAATGCTGAATTGAAATAACCTTGAAAGTAAAACTGTGCTGACATTCAGTTTGATTAGCTTCTGTTAATAAGTAAATGATGAGTAAATTAATAAACATGGGTAAACGTTTCACTTTTCTCACTTCTTGGTACTCTCAAAACTTTTGTTCATAAAATGCTAACTTGTTGTTTTAAACTAAGTTCTGGACCTCACATGGCCCATATCAAAGGCCAACTATGTCGAAATAATTTCAATGTATCAAAGTGAGTATTTAGGAAAAAATAAAAAAGATATTGGTTGTTACAGTTTAGGCCCGGAAGCTGTTTTCCTGTCTCTGACACTTGTGTCGCAGTCACAGCAGAGCCTAATTTGCCCTCGATTACTTTCCGACACTGATCTAAGCTTTGTCATGATATGTTCTAACACCCTTCCCCTGACTTTTTCTTGTTAAATCCCAGCGTCTTCACAAACATTAAAGGAACACTCAAATCTCTCCTTTGATTGTGAAACACAATCATCCCCCGTTTTTATTTGGCATTTAACACAGCTGTGATTTCTTCTCCCTTTTTCCTCCGTGATCATCTCTACTTGATTGCCTCTTGTGTGTAACATTTAGCAGGACTAAAGTCTGGATCTACTGGGAAATTAGAGATTAGTACAGCTGATCAAGAAATAGATTAGGTAAGTGACATTAACCACAAAAAAAGACATTTGTAATGAAAAATCAAGGACATTAAAATCAAATTCAACAGAAATATATGCTCCTTAAGCCCACATCTAGGTATTTAAAATGTGTTTAAAGTCATTGTATTTCTCTTTATCATTTGTGGAAACACACAGAACATTTCAACAAGTGTTGCATGCATGACTTAAATAAATAAATCTTTACAATTGAGCACATTACATGATACATTTGTACAACGATTGACCACAGCTATATTCTTTAATAGACACACAATATGGTGTACGTAGCCTACACTACTTTGATTGTGTTCAGACATCAAGATCAAATGTACAGTTTATACACTTAACAATATGCCAAATATAATCAGCTGATATGAAATGATTATCCAAATCTTCACAATAACACACAATACTGTTTGTGACCCTGTCAGCTGTTCAAAACTAGCATACTCTCATTTTGGCTTCCAATATTTGACAAACCAGAGCTTCTCTGGGCAGATTATATCTCATCAGTCATTGAAGCACAACATCTTATCGTACAAACAGCATGAGAAAACATAATATTAATATAAATCAGAACAGCACATTTACGAACACTGCAGTCGCCACGACTGTTAGATTCCGAGACTTGAAATTGAAATGACAGTTCAAAAGTGATGGTGAGGTTTCTTCACTGTCAGAATTGTTACTGCACCTCAGCATGACACATGACATGGCTGTCACTGTATGTGTCCATCAGAATTGCGGCATAGGCACCCTGTATATAATGGAACATATGGATGAGGAGGTTGTTACAGATAACCAAAGATCCACAGCCTCAGTCACTGTCAATGCTGACCTTAAACATCTGTTAAACAATCTGACTGTGGATCGGTGGCTATGGGCAACATTAACCTCACTGTGAGAGCCAAGTGAAAGTCAGGAAGTGAATGTCTTCTGGCTGTGACCTTTCACCTCCAAGCCCACAAAGTGTCCAGCCTTCAGTCGGCGTAGAGGATGAATCCTGAAAACGTGCTATACTTGTTACTGTTCCCCCCGTGGGCCTTGCCGCCATCCAATTTTACGAAAACCTCATCGCCTGCATCCAAATGAAGGATGACACTGTTGCTGGCGTAGTCATAACTCTGGTCCTGGTCTTGGGCGATGGCGCTGGCCCTGACCTGGAATATGACATGCACACACAGACAAGGAGAGAGGAAGTCAAGAAATGCACACAGAAGGGGAAAAGACCGTTTTTACAATATATTACTCAACTAACATATAAGAGCAGAATGAATCATTCCCATTTTCATAGAATGCAAATAAGAGCTGCACAATATAAGAAAAAAATATGATAACAATGTTGAATATTTCAATAATGACATTACTTGTGCATGATACATAAACTGATATTAAAGTGTATTTGATTCTGCCTTTTGCTGTTTTAGGTAAACTGCTATAATACAAAATGATTAAATACACTCTTATTTTTGGCAAATTAACAACGAAGTGAACACAAAAGGCACTAATAAAAAAACTAATGATAGTAACATTTTAAAGCGACATATTCTACTGATAGAAATACATAAATAAAAAATCCCTAAGTGCAATAAAATGATAAAAAAAAGCGCTAACATTTTAAGATATGATGATATTGAAATAGATTCATCTTCATACACACCGACATTTAATCACTTCATAATTTGACGCCACTCATTTTCCATGTCCGAGTTGAATTAAAATCTTATGTAAGGAAAATAATATTTGGAAGGCGTGTGGACTGAATTTGAGAGTTTGTGAAAAGTGTTTCCCCTGTGGTGAATATCTTGATGTTCCTCCATGACTCAACTGAAAGGGTCACGCTTGAGTCAGCTTGCCTTTGAGGAAGGATGGCAGAGCATACTCTCCCTTTGGGTCATCTTCCACTCTTGCATCCACCTTTCCCTGGGTGGGGCACTGATAATGCCATATTTATCCCGAATACGAGTGTCATCGTGTCAACACAGGGTAATTACTGAGGGTGTTAGATCTGGAGCCTAACACACTAATCGCCGGTGCTTGTCCATGTTCAAAGTGAAAGTTGTATACTTATAAATATCCCTCTAAGCTTAAGCTAATATGTGATGAGCTCGGTTGCCAGGTTGGATGTTATGCTGTAACCTCAGCAGACATAACCCTAAAAGTGTAATTTTCTTTCTGAATTAAGGAATCTGGACTAATTAGTGCCAATGACAAAAAGACACTGACCAAAAATGTCCCAGTAAAATACAGTCCTAAAAAATTTGCAGAAAACTGCGGGTCTGCTGCAAATCACTTCTTTTAAATCAAGGCTGAAGTGTTTTCTTTCTCCTGCTGCTTTAGACTAAATCAAATAACTATTTGAGGCACTTTTATTCTTGTACTTAATATGTTTTATTGTAGATTGTTCTATTTTTATTTGACTCTCTTTGCTTTTAAATGACTGTTTTTAATATATAATATATTTGGTTCTGTGCACTTTATATCTTAATTCTTTAATGTTTATTTGTATTATTTGTAAAGCACATTGGCAACATTGTCAGTCATATTTTACTTTATCCTGAAGATTTGTTAATGGTTTCATTTGATATCTTGGAGCCCTTTTTTGCTTAAGAAGGTGTGAGACTGCAATACATGTGTTTTCTGTGGTAATCTAAGATAAAGCTTTATATATGAAACGACATATCTGGTGCACCGTATTTACAGTGTCATTGCCCTCTAAAGAAAGGTGGGGGAGGCAGATGGAGGAAGTCTTTGCACATCACTAGTCAGCCAATAGGTGAATCATTCTGATTATAATATGCAGTTTTCCACACAGTATACTCAAGTATGTTTGTCTTTTTATTTAAGTTAAAAGTTAACATGTTTTATTAACTGTAAATCTATTGCTTATTTCAATGTTGCCTTTATATTAAAAAACACTTCTGCACATTTTCAAATAAATGTGTGGATATTAAACAATTTATTTATTAAATTCTATTTGTTGAATGAAAAAGGAAAGTGTGTGTGTGTGTTTGGAAAAATCATACGTTCTAATTCAAATGAGAACTGGAAAAGGGTAAGGGTGCAATTTTCCTTTTTAAATGAATCCCATCTCAAATAAATTGTATCCTTGGGTTGTATTATGATGTACAGGTGTTACTCTCTCCCCTCTCTGTACACCATGGTGCATCCTCTCTGAGATGTCCGAAGGAAAACGTCCTGGCTGAGATGTACATGGTGTTTGATCAATGTCCTCACCTGGGGCTTTAAAGACATTAGAAAATTGTCCATGAGTATAGCAAATATCATGATTTCAAATTGAATCGTCTGGGCCTGACAGGCAGTCTGATAACGCATACGAGCACATCGTGTTCCATGAAGTTTATTTATTTCAAAGGGCACCAGCTTTGAACTAGCCACTACCCCAGGCTGTGTTTTGATGTGTGCAGAGTTGAGATAGCACTGCACTCCTTCCACTCACTTCAATGTGTACATCATTGGATGTATAATATGCACAGATACACAATCTGGCAGTTTGCCACTGTGCATTGTCATTATCTTGAACTAAAATACCGGACCAAGTCAGATCTAAAATCACTATCCACATGAATGCATGACTTCTCCATTTAGACTTCAAGCAGGCTGGTTACAATGTTCCCTGAGCAGTGTACTGTATAATCCAGGGTTCTTATCTCATATTAGATCATTTTCTACTACTTGAACTGAGAAGCGCTTTTTTCATCTGTTAAAGTCAAATGGAAATAATTAAACATTAGGACGTTTTTTGAATAGGTGTCTGCAGAGTTTAAAGGGTTACCCACCAGACCATTCTTGATCAGGTCAGCCCACATGCTGGTGCCATCTCCTCCCCTCATGAGCACATTGTAGATGAAAAAGTAGGTGCCAGGAATCTTACAGGTAAACTTGCCTGTTGCGCCCTCATAGTTACCCCCAATATTAGTCACCACATCATCAAATCGTAGAATATCGTAACCTTCTTGAGGGCTTCGTAGTCCTCCAAAAAATGCCACCCGAGGTGCTGTATTGTACGTTGTTGTACTAACTGCCCCTTTACCCCCTAGACCTAGAATCCCCGTCCGTACGATATCCACACCTTCTCCTGGAGGTCCCTTAGGTCCTGGTGGGCCTGGTTGTCCAGGTGGCCCTGGGGGTCCAGGCTTTCCTGGACGTCCATGTCTGCCGTAGGGGCCGTTAGCACTGTATGTAGGCAGCGGTTGGCCAATGCTGTGATCACTCAGGTCTACATCGTTGTCCACATGTAGGCCTGAGGTTGCTGTATCTGTTCCCGCTTGACCCCCTGTGTCCGTTGTGGGGAAGGGGTCACACACCATGCGGCAGGTACCCAGCATCTCAAAGTGGCTCCCACTGTCATCTGTGCCTCCTGTGCCAACAGAGCTGACCAGCACAGGGATGAGGACCACCAGAACCAGGACCAGCATGACCCCCACAGCAGCTGCCACCAGGGTCTTCCGCCCGATGCTCAGCCGGGGAAGAGGCTGCGCAGCCAGCGTGGAACTCTCCGGGGTGGAAATGGTGACTGTGGGGAGTGCGTCCACCTGGCAAAACACAGACACAATGAGGCTCTCCGATGGGGGAGATGGTGCCCAGGGAGAGCTGGTGTGAGTGTGTGAGTGAGTGACAGAGCCGTGTAGGAGAGGGAGTGGAGCAAGGGATCCAAGTGATCAAAAGGAGAGAGAGAGTGAGAGTGAGGAGAGAGACTTAGAGGAGAGGAGGAGGCAGAGAGTAAGACAGCTTGAGAGAAAAAAAGCAAAGAAGCAAGGGGAGGAGAGAGTGAGCAACATGCACTCACTAACTATCTGAGTCAGGGCTGAGGAGGGCACTTTCCTACTGGCAGATGTGAAAAGCCAGGGAGGACATAAGGAAGGAGTGCGAAATATGGAAGATAAAGATTGGGATCGTAATGAATCAATTCATGATCATGATAAAGACAGAGATGGAGAAACAGATTTAAGTGAAGTTCGCTAAGATCTCAGTTCTAAATTATAGGAGAGATCATTTATTTAACATTACTGAAACATATATATACTCGATTGTTGTGGTTATTTATTGTAAATGTTTCCATAATATTAAACAGTTGGTATTTATTTTGTGCACTCATATAAGAAAATGTTACTTTGAGTACAGTAAGACCTAATTTGAGACTAATAGCCAGCAGCCAGGTATAGATATAGATTTTTCTGGTAAAGTTTTCTTAGCTTATTGTCAGAGTTTTCAAGGTCAGAATGTGCATACTTTCCCTTATCTGCCTACGTGTCTGTGTGGGTGCATGGTAAGAGATCTTGTTTACAGGAATCATTTCAAACATCTCTGGTCCGTCAAGCTGTGACCTTTGCTAATCAGCAAGCTTTTGAAGTAGCAATTCAGATGTTCAGACCTGGTGGCCACAAGTACAATCAATCCATCAATCAATCAATCAATCTAAACTATATGAATCCCAGGGGGAAATTACGTTTTGGAAATTATCAGAATAAAAATGAATAAATATTGAGAAGTAAAAATGTGCCATAAAAGTCCTTGTAGCCACAGGGACACAGCGTATTACACAGTGTCTTAGGCACAGCGTCTTAGGCATAGAAACAAGGCAGAAGGTCACCCACAGCACAGGGACCCTCTGAAGACTCATGATCATGTTGATGCTCTCGGAGAAATCCTCGTCGACCCAAACTGTCGTGAAGCTATCAAAGGAAATATCCGAAATTGATGTGGATTGAAAATATTCCCAAACAGTTACAGACATCAGTAGAACAAGTTTTCTGGGAATTTAATTTATTTGCAAAAAAATATACATAATCTCTGAAATCATAGGTAATCCTTATAATATCATGCACTGTTTGCTGTGTATGTGATTTTAAAGTATCTTCACTGATCAACAATGAGTTTTTATCTATGGCAGCAAGCATCTGCCAATATTACATTTGTACTATTCAAAGCAGTTGTATCTACTTGTTGGCCCCTTGGAGGCAGCAGATCAAGCCTTGAACACAACATGGACATGTTTTTATCCTAGGGATATTACAATTTGTTTTGAACACTATCCAATCACATAACTCTTTGTTCTGTAATATTGGTCGCACGGGACATTTGTGTGAGTTACCTGCAAAGATGATGAGTTTTACTTTGCTGAATGGCCTCAAGGTGGCGGGTCCTTGACATACACCATAAAAGCTATTGTTGGGTGTTTGATCTGAACCAGTTAAGATAGTTGTGATGTTTCGATTTTACTGCTCCTTTCTTGGTGCATGCTTATGGAAAATAACCATGTCCTGACAATGATGAGTCAGACACCTTCGGCATTGCTTTCTTGCTGAGTCTTTCCAGCTGATGACAATATATATCAGAGAGATGCCCAGATGATCAACTCAGAAACCAAACAAAAGTATACACCAATCAAAATAAGATACATACACATTTACTTTAAAATCTGCGCATTTTCAAATATTTCATTTAACTTTTAAAAGAGTTTACATCAGCCTTCTCTGTAGGGTGCTGCACACATATATTGATCTAGTTGCAGACTTTGGTGCCCTCATGTGGCATTTTAACATATTACAAATATAATATAAATATAAACTAAACATCCTCACACAGCATTATTTTTCTCTTTTCTCTTGAATTCACTTGAATTTAATTTAGAAAAATGGTGTAAAAGCAACTTTGGTCCTAGGTGACTCTGTAATGATTTTGTCCTTTAAGCTGCAATTTCTAACAACTTTCTGCTGATGAAGGTGACTCATATCCATAATATAATGTATGTGCCCTTATTCTTAACCGTTTTCTTAATATGTAAGTGACGTGTGTCGTTTTAAATGTTCTCTCTGGTCCCCATTTCAATGAGTGCAGTTGCGTCTTTCAACCAGAGGATGGCGCCAACTGCTTACTCTTGAAAAGCAGCCACAAACTAATCACTGGGTAAATCTTGAAGAAAACTAAAGATACATCTTGGTTAACAATGTGTACAGATGTATCACCAGTTACGACTCTTTGATTGTGATGGCTTGACAACGCATCTAAGAAAAAAAATGGTCTATCTCAATATGTTTTGTGCACTACAAATTAAAAAGTATGCTGCTCTGTCAGGACCATGGAGTTCAGGACCTAACCTTAACCTACCTCCATGCAGAAGCAGGAACTTGTCTTATCAGCACTACAGTAGGGCTAGGTGTAGACCACCCATCTTCAGCAGCCCTGCTCACATTCCAGCATGGACAAGGGGACAGCCTTTTCAGTAACTGGAGACCTGAGGATGTGAATAGTCATCTTTGATGTCTATATTCAGTATGGACTTAGCATTAGGAGCATTTATCTTTTTATTGACTGTTGGGAGATGCAGGTTGAATTGTATTTGGCACTTTGTCTATTAGTTCATCTTAATCATGGTTAAAGCAGGGCAGACATAAATAATTACATTTAGGAAAAATACATAAATGGTTGATCCAACTTGGTGGACAAACTCAATTTATTCTAGAAGTCCTAGTCTCTTCAATGTGGTTATGGACATTTGGTGTAATACAAATGAAAGCATATCAGCCCCTTGTATGTTTACACAAGGGTTCAAGCAGAGTTACTTCCTTGATTCTGTCTTTTTGGACTCTTCCTTTTTAGGAAATGCGCCGCTGCCTTTCAGTCCCTCTTGGGATTCTGTGGGAATTCCTTAGCTGGTTTACTTGGCAGTTGGTTTTCAATACACAAATATTGTTATTCCAGGGTGTGAATATAGGACTGGAGAAGGAATTGAAAAAATGTGTCATGTTTCTTTGGGCCACTCTTGACAAAATGCTGTGCTTGGTTTGTAAACCATTGTATGTATGGGTTGTGTTATCTATAAGACAAATATTTTACAACATTACAAAATAACAATATTAAACCACTACACATCCTCTTTATTTGTTTATGGATCCTAATTGAAAAACATACTAAAATAGATTATTAGAGATTAGTCTGTGATGATTAGATAATAAAAATAGCCCTGAAAGGAGATTTCATTGTCCTCCTTAATGGATATAGTCCAAGTGTTCTGTTTGGAGTTTATATGACCCTGTGTGTTGCCTGTGAGGCCTGCACTCCTATCTCCTATCAGTCACTGCTCCAATTGCTGTGCTGGATGTGTCAAAAGCAGAGCTCGTCTGACCAGTTAATTTACAGCGGCTGGAATCTACTCCTCACAAACAGTAGACACATATTTCCCTTTTTAGGGCATGAGAATCTATTACGTAATTTTGGGAGCACTCGGATCTCTAGCAAACTCGCTTGTGTGGAAGCGGGAGGTGCTGATACGGAGCGACACCACATTCGACCAATCAGACGGCAGGAAAGTTGCCTTCTCGCTCGCTGATTGGCCAGGGGGTGGGAAACGTTGGTTGACGTTTAGGTTGCTCGCGCTCCCTCTCTGGCTGGGAGTTTTTCACGTTGATGGTTTCACGGGAGTAGTTGTAGTCTTCATACCGGAGGGTGAAACTGACCTGGGGGAAAAGCTACCAGGAGTGTTTAAAACTGTAGTAGTGGGAGTTTGGGAGAAAACTGCCTTAGTTGGTAGAATATTAACTTGTTTCTCTCTTGAATAGTGGTCAAAAGTTGCCAACATGCCGGTGTTTCACACGAAGACGATAGAAAGTATCCTGGAGCCAGTGGCTCAGCAGATATCCCATCTGGTGATAATGCACGAAGAAGGTGAAGTTGACGGGAAAGCTATACCAGATCTGACGGCGCCGGTGGCTGCCGTTCAGGCGGCCGTCAGCAACCTTGTTCGGGTGAGTAACTTTGTAAAATGTTGCCTGGTAAAGTCTGCCTAAACGCGACTAGTGTAGTAGGCTACCTGTCGCTCTTTGTCCCGCACCATCCGCTTGAAATTAACTAACTTTACCGTTAAAACACAACGATATTAATGTAGCTAGCTCTGTCTTATGTGTTGAATATCAGATAAAATAGAAGTATGCATGCTATTTAAGTTTCCTGAAGTTGTTTGACTCGGGGCAAAGGGCAGTGACGCCCTTTTCCCCTTGAAAATATGCCCTGCCTCCTCGGTAGCTGCCTGCCATGTCCTGACGTAGGCACTGCTGCTATCTGTGAGCCAGCCAGGTACTGGGGCAGGCTGCAATTCAACAGTATACCCACTTTATTTGATAGATAAGTTGCATTAGTTGTTAATGAATATGGTTTTGAATGGGAATATGAATGAACCTAGAATGCAGAATTGATTTCAGGGCCCTCAGTTCACATATAGTAGGTGGGACAGCATATTATTTCATCCAACTCTTTTAAACATATCTATATAGACTACAATGATTCATGGGCAGTTACAGAAATGATTGATTATTGATGCATACATATATTTGAGCTACAAATGCTCTGCTAATGTGATGATAAAGATTGAGATAGCATTGTCAAACCTTCACTCTGGTTGCAGAAATGTTTCAAAAATGTTAATTTGCATGTAGTT